TTCTTGTCAAATTACTTTGAAAAGCCTAAGGGAGTCCAGCCTCTTTTCTACTCCAAGGAGTGATCCTTGATATCCTGCCATCTCCTCCCTCCACTACCCAGCTCCCTCCACGTGCCCAGCCCAGCCCCTATCCTCTGGTCCCCCATCATAACACAGATAGAAAGAGTGAGGCCTGGAGAGGCACTAGCTGACCAAGGAGCCCAGAAAAGGGCTGGGGGAGGTCTGAAGGAAGGCTCCCTACCAACCCTCAGCTGCTGTGGGGAAGGCCCTGCCCTGTTGCTCATGCCTCAGTCCCAGGCCTTACCTGAGCTGGGGGGGTCCAGGGAGCCATAGAAGAATTCCCATTTGGCTCGAGCAATTCTCTGGGCATGAGAGGAGACTTCCCGGGGGGAGGACCAGGTGTCCCCCTGAGTCAAGGAGGGAGAGATAGACACAGACACCCAGAGGTAAAGCCAGTCATACAGGGACACAAGAATATGGGACAGAAACATAGAAATAAAAATACATGGGGTCAGAGAAAGAGATGCAGAGAAACAGGGACAAAAACAGAAGGCAAGAAAGAGACAGATTAAAGGATTCAGAGTGAGTAGTACACAGGCCCAAGTCCAATATGGGACCCAGCCTTGCCCCTTCACTGGGGCACTAGAGCCCTAGGGAGCCCAAGGGAGATTGCATACCTGGTTCAGGAATCCAGGGACAGCAGATCCTCGGAATAGCGTGGACAGGTGTTCAGAGGCCCCCCCAAGCCCATTGGGGAGAGAGGAGTAAAGGCCATCTGCCCCAACCTGGGGTGGGACTGGTGGCCCATGTAAAGGGTCCTGGCTGCCAGGAAGGGCTGAGCCTCCTCCGGCTGGGAGTGGGTCTGATGTGGATGCCTCCAGCCGCAACTTCCGGTTGGAACCAGGCCCAAGGGCTGGAGTGGGCCTGGGAGGAGAAACACCACCCAGATCCCAGCTTCTACTCAAGCCTCCAGGAGCAGGTAGCCCATTCAGTGGCCTCACACTGGCCTTCTCCACAAAACGGAAGATGACCACGGAGCTCCGGGCCCCTGGTGGGGGCTGCCCGGTGGGTGAAGAGGGTGCCCAGGGTGAGGGAGCTACACGGGGTGAGGGGGGACCACGTAGAGGTGTACAGGGTGCTGTCACACGTCCCAGTTCCCGGCCTCGGGAACCTGGACCTGCCACTCGCCAGAGCAGGGAGCCTGTGCTGCCGTACATGCTGGCTGGGGGGCTCTGGGGCACTGGGCCTTCGGGGAGCCAGCGGCGCGGGCATCGTGGTGGGGAGATGGCACAGTCACCTTCCGAGCAGAAGCGCATGGCACCCTGGGCCATGCTGGGGCCGGGGGTCAGGCTGGGGGGGCAGGGATGGCAAGGTCAGGCGGGGAGTGAGGGGGCTGCATGCTCTTCAGACAGGCCTGCAAGAGACAAAGGAGAGCAGGCGGTGAGCTGCCAGGGAGTTAGATGGGCAGGACAGCAGAGATGGGAGGGGAAAGCTGGCTGGGGCCTCTGAGTGCCAGGGACCTAGCCCACCCTGGAATATGGGTTGATCCCATCCCTGGGGGTTACTCCCATGGACACCTGAGAAGAAAAGAATTGTCCACCCAGTGGGCCCCTGGCTCCTCTCCTTCTGCCTGGGGGCCCTGAGTATCATTCTGGGAGGAGAGAGGAAGCTATTTCAGAACTTAAATGAGCTGAGTCCCTGTGGCACTTTGGGGCTACTTCTGGTGTTGGGGAGGCTGGTAGCCCACCCTCTGGATCAACAGTGTCAGCCAGCCATCACCCTCATGCAGCCCTGGGTCCTACATAGTCCCCCTTAGGACATTCCTCTCTCACAGAAGGGAACCCAAGACTCCTGGAAGGAGAGGGAAGAAGAATGGGGGTTATGTAGGGACGATGAAGGCTGGGAGGCACAGGGTGGGAGTGAGGAGAGGGGCCTGAACAGAGGCCCTGTCCCCAGTACATACATGCCGAATGGGAAAGGGATATTCTTGTTCTCCATACAGGTACAGACGGGCACACACACACACACACACACACACACACACACGGACAAATATGTCAGCACACAGTTAAACGTATTCATAGGCAACATCTTCCAGCACACACAGACACACACACATGCACACACACAGCTCAGAGACACACCCTCATGCACTCACAGTCATAACAAATATGTGTGTACTGGAAAGGCACATGTTTGTTTTACACACACACCATCACCAAGCAGGAACACACAAAGGGGTACCCATATATACACACGGGCTCTCATTCTCCAAGGCACACAGAGATATAGATGTATCGAACACTCACAGAGACCTACTGGTTACAATCACATACAAATACAGATGTACATTTACACACACACTCAAGCAGGGACACATACCCTCCCCTCCCCCCACCGGTCACTGAGGCTTGGGGTCGGGTGGAGGGGAGACTGCACCACATCCCTCTCTTCCCCCACCTCCGAGGGGTATGACAGATCTTGTTCAGCCTGGGAGGGATCATAACGGGGTAATGAGGCCTCTGGTGGCAATGCAGGGTAGGGGCAGAGGTCAGGAGCAGCAACACTGCCAGGCAGGTTCCTGAAGCTCAACCTGGTCCCAGCGCATCCCCTGCAGCCCCCACTCAGGACCACCTCAGTACTCACCGCTGCTCGCCCGGAGCTGGGACCGAGGAGAGGCAGAGGAGAGGCTTGGCCCAGCTCAGCTGTGAAGGTAGCGCGGCTCCCGCTTGCTTCAGGCCCGCCCGTCTTTCAGTCCCTCCTCCTACCCCCTACGCGCCGCTCAGGCAGCGCTAATCCCCCCCACCCCCCGCCCTCTCCCAGGGCCCTGAGCCCCAGAGGCTGGCAGCCTCACTCTTTGCTAGGTCCCCGCTGGGCTCTCCCGCCAACCTAAGGCCCGCCCCAGGCGAGGGGGAGGGCCTATGGAACCCTCGGTTCTGTTCCTCAGACCCTCACGTGCCTCACACCACTTGTGTCCATGTCCCTCTCGCCCCCCATCCCCTGAGCCACACGTAGGGCTCAGCTGCACACGCATGTCCCGCTCCAGACCCCACGCATGTCCTCAGGAGGCTGCCACATGACCTGTTACATGCCACACGCGCTCCCGCCTCCACGAGCACGCGGCCGCTGCAAGCACACGGTATGAGTGTAGACCGGACCCGCCCCTCTAAATCCAGGAGACCGCCAACTATGGAAGGCAAATCTAGGGAATACCGTCTTCAACTCTCCTAGGTTCTAAGTTTCGGACCCAGGAGACCCAGCCCTGACCACCCATCCAGGGTGCAGCAGGAGATATTGTCAGACTTTAGGAAGAATTTCCGTGCTGCCTGGGTTAGGTGTCCTGCACATTCAGGGGTAAAGAGGTTAGACGGGATGACCCTGGGACTGGAGGAAGTGGGGGACAGGCAAACCTTGTGCTCTCAGGGTAGAAGTGGGCACGGCTATTTTAAGAAAGCGCCACTCGAGTTACTATGGCAACTACTCTTCTTGGAAAGGCCAGGGCCGGCCGGTGGTGACCTCAGAAAGAAGAAGGGGTCTGTACGGGCAGTCAGAGGGCGCGAGGACGTGCGAGGCGGGGGCGCGCGGAGCTCACCGAGGGGAGGGGCGACGCGGGCTCCGAATGGTGCTGAAGGGGACAGCGCCAGATTTGTCGCACTGCGCAGGCGCACAGGCGCGAACAAAGGGGGGAGGGAGAAGAGGCGCGCGACCGGAGGTGGTGCGCGCCCACGTGGCTCTATCTTTGCAGAGGTCAGTCCTCCCACCTACCCCCTCCCCAAGCAGGCTGAGGAAGCAGAGGAAAGAAGCCCCTTATCCAACTTGACCCTCATTTGGTCCTTCCCCGCTGCTAACTTCTCTCTTCCCGCTGCACTGAGGGGGTAGGGGAGTGTGGAAGAGATTCTGGGAAAACCAGACGTCTGGGTTTTCCCTCTCTCGCTTGATCCTGGACAAGGTGCTTCCTCTCCAGGGCCTCGGTTTTCCCATCTTTAAAATGGAGTGATAGTACAGACCTGCCCACCTTGCAGAGGTGCCCGAAGCCCTGATGACATAACGGATGGGAAGAAGTTTTTGTTATGAAGAGGCAGCTGAAGTGGTTGCACCGAAGAAGCACGCAACCCTCAGCGATGGCAGTGGCCTTCGCGTCCTTCACGTTCCCCCACACCCACCGCGTGGATGATGGGGTAAAGCACTAATACTCCAGGGGTTCTCCGGAGCGGAACCTGAGACTAGGACTGGGGACGAGGTGAAAGGGCAGCCCAGAGGCTGAGTCCACACCTGTGGGGTGTCAATGCCCCAGGGCGGGCCCAGCCCCAGACCCTACAGCTGAACCCAAGGGCAGCCGAGAGACAGTATCCCTGTCGAGCTAAGCTGAGGACTCATTCTTCTCAGGACTCTGGACCTCTGGAGGAAAGGAAAAGGACCCGACTGGAATTACAGTCCTTAGCGCTTCCTATGTCTCTCTTCCCAGGTGTAAACTCGGCCCACACTATCCCGGAGTAAGGGGCTGGTAACTAGGAATGGGAAGTTTGAGAAAGTTTGCTTGGTGAAGGACGAAAATTCTAGCTTCGCCCCCATTCATTCATTGTTTCCTTTTTGGCGGCTGGCCGGTACGGCATTCGTTCTTTCAACAGTTGCTTATTGAGCACCTACTGAGTGCTAGACAGTAAAAGCCTAGATAGTTTCTCCCCATTTTTCAGTCTCCAAACGCAACCAGAGGGCAGAGAAGCCGGTAACCTAGGAGTCCTGGCTCCGCCCCTTCTGCTCCTCCCATCAGCACTTCACCCAGAGGCGGCTACTGGCCCAAGACGAAGACAGACCAGTCTCTGATGCCCGCCACATTCTCCAGCCTCGGGCCTCAAGCCCAGTATTCGAGAAGGCGACGTCTGATGTTATACCACTGGTCTGCGCGTCAGTTTCGGAGTCCATCCGGAAAGCTCGCAGGTAGGATCCTCAGTGAGACGGCACTCGATTGAATAGGACTGTCTCTACAACCCAAAGAGGCGGGTTCGTCGCGGCAGTTCCAAGGCCAAAGCGAGACGACCTTACTGCGCACGCGCACCAAGCAGCCGATGGAGCTACAGATGGAGCCGTCCGGAGGGGAGCAAGAACCCAGAGCCATCAGGTACCGAGCACCGGAGGGGCCGAGGGAAGGAAGGACGGTGGGTAGGGGAGCTGAGCTGGGGCCAGGTTTTGAGGCCACTCTTGGGAGCCGGGACGCAGGAGCATAACGGAGGCGGACTCTCAAGTGACAGCGGCCCGGGGACGCCAACTCCCCTTTACCCGCAGGCTTCTGGACCTGCCCTGGGAAGACGTGCTGCTCCCACATGTCCTGAACCGGGTCCCGTTGTGCCAGCTGCTCCGGCTGCAGCGCGTTAGCCGGGCCTTCGGGGCCCTAGTACAGCTGCACCTGGCCCGGCTGCGCCGCTTCGACGCCGCTCAGGTGAGCCAGGTGCCAGAGCCCCTCCCCCTCTGGACACCGCCTCCCTCCCAGCCTAGCCCTAACCCCAAATGTATGCCCTTCCTGACCCCTTTGGGCCGCCAGAGCTGCCCGGGAAGCGATACACTCAGCGGGGAGTATCCCAAACAACGAGTACCGGGTAGCAATTCAGAGGGAGCGTGGGGTCTTTCCTGGGAAGGCAGATGGCAAGCCTCAAGGGTAGACGGCTGCCGAGAAAACTATTCGGGGGCGGAAAGGCAGTGCCCGTCCCGCCCCGGGGACAGGCTGAGAGTCGGGGTGCCTCCCCGCCCGCAGGTGGGTCCGCAGATCCCGCGGGCCGCATTGGCTCGGCTGCTGCGTGACGCCGAGGGGCTGCAGGAGCTGGCCCTGGCGCCATGTCACGAATGGCTGTCGGACGAGGACCTGGTGCCTGTGCTGGCGCGGAATCCGCAGCTGCGGAATGTGGCTCTGGCTGGCTGTGGGCAGCTGAGTCGCCGCGCGCTAGGAGCGCTGGCCGAGGGCTGCCCCCGCCTGCAGCGCCTGTCGCTCGCGCACTGTGACTGGGTGGACGGGCTAGCGCTGCGTGGCCTCGCCGACCGCTGCCCGGCACTGGAGGAGCTGGATCTCACCGCCTGCCGCCAGCTGAAGGACGAGGCCATCGTGTACCTAGCGCAGAGGCGCGGAGCCGGCCTCCGCAGCCTCTCACTGGCTGTCAACGCCAACGTGGGGGATGCCGCGGTCCAGGAGTTGGCTCGCAACTGCCCGGAACTCCAGCACCTCGACCTCACCGGCTGCCTCCGCGTTGGAAGCGATGGCATCAGGTGCCTGGGCCCGGGGGGTGGTGGAGTGGGAGGAGGGCTACTACTCAGCCTCTGAAGGTAGGGGCGGATTGTAGTTGTCAAAAGACCGAACTGGGGGTTCTGGATCCTCCTAACCACAGCACCCCCACCTGAACAAGAAAGGCTTCTAGGATCGCCTATATAAGAGCCCACAGTTTAAAAACTTTTTTTGAACCAGTATTTACACGTTGGGAGATTTCACACAGAAAGTCATTTCTGGCTTTTCTTCAGCAAGGGGGAAATCTTGCAATCCTGGGCGGAGCTGAGGAACAGGTTTCCCCTTTAAGAGACAGGAAGTCTGCAGCTCACCGGAGGCATGGAGTATATGACCCCAATCCAGGCCCCCTTCCAGGACTTTACTGGAGCCAGTCCTAAGTGGAGTGGGCCCAAGGCCCCTTCCCCTCTACCCACTGTGGGTGTAGTGGCCTCGTGCACCTAGCCTCACCTTGCTCCTCCCTCAGGACACTGGCCGAGTATTGCCCGGCGTTGCGCTCGCTGCGGGTGCGGCACTGCCACCATGTGGCCGAGCCTAGCCTGAGTCGCTTGCGGAAGCGCGGAGTGGACATCGATGTGGAGCCGCCACTGCACCAAGCCCTGGTGCTGCTGCAGGATATGGCGGGCTTCGCACCTTTTCTCAACCTGCAGGTCTGACCTGCCTACCGGTTGGAGCACAGCTGGACTGTGTGGCTGGGGCCTGACATTGAGCTGTAGGGAAACTGAACTGTGGGAACCTCTGGTGAGAAGCCAGTGCCCTGCCCCACCCTGGAGCTTCAAATAAAGAGCTTTTTACCCCCTCTTGCCTGGTGCTGCCCTGATGGAGACAGGAATGTGAGGTTGGGGAGGGAAGATCAGACAGGCATAGTATCCTAGTCCTGAGGCAGAAATGACCAGAATGCACTCACACCTTCCTTGGGCCACCTTTACTGTGCCCACGGAGACAGCTCCGAGAGTAGGTGAACACTATGGAGCAAGGATGTAGAGATGAGGGACAGGAGTTAGAGCGGCCCCCGTGTGGGGGTGTAGGGCTCCTGCATCCCTCTGGGATCTGAGCCTAGAAGGCTCAGGCAGCATCCAGCAAGTGCCTCAATGGAAGCGGTACTTTCTGGCAGGTTTGAGGTTGATGTATGTGGCCTTCATCTCCTCTGCCTCAGGGTTCCGCATATCTTTGAATCGCTCCCCTTTGGTGCTCACTACTTGGTTGTCAATGTATCGGATCAGCTTCTTGGGAGCCTGTCAGGCAATCAAGCAGTGAATGACAGAAGCCAGGAGCCAGTCCCATCCACTCTACAACCCAGGAGCCCCAACACTCTCACCTCTTTCGGAGCCATGGGCCGGTGAATCTTCTCATCCTCTGCACTATCCACCATCATGTACCTGCCAAAAACCGGCTGGATGAGGCTCCTGCCACCCTGGGAAGATCCTCCAGGGCCTGGCCCAGCCCAGACCAGACCAGCCCAGCCCAGCCCAAACCAGCCCAGACTCACTTCTGCAGGATGAAGGACTTCAGGTCATCCTTTTGGGGGCCTCTGAGACGCCTGGGCAGATCCTACAGAGAAGGGAGGCTTGGTCAAGGCCCAAAGGCACCAGCAAGGGAAACAGATAGGTAGGGATAGGGGCTTAACACCAAGGAGGAATGTAGCTGAGGCTACGTGGGGGAGAGGGGCCTGGGAGAAGATACCTGATTGGGGCCATCCCAGGCTGGAGGCCCCTCTTCCTTCCCCTCTACCAGCATCTGCACAGCTTCTTCTAAGTCCCCCCGAGCTTTGGCCAGCACCCACTGGGCCTGCTCCATTGAACAGGTAGGGAACACCTCCAGGAGTACATCTACCCCTGGCAGCAGCTCCTCCTCAGCGCCAGCTGCCTGTGAGCACAAATGTTGACAACAAGCAGTACTTCCTCCTTTCCCACCCTCTAGGTCCCTCACTGGTACCCCCCTCTACCAGTACCTCATCTTTGGTGTCCCCAGCATCAGCAGTAGAAGACCTGGTCTCTTCTTTGAGCTTTTCAGGCCATTGCATGGGCTCTGGGGAGATGGGCACCTGACCTTGGACACCAGAGCTCTGCGGTTGCAGATTCTCTTAAAGAGGCAGAGAGAGCATCAGGTTTGCCAAGGCTTTGGATGGGTGGGGTTATGAATCACCCAAGTATCCAGAGCCCCAGACTCACCCTTGTTCCGGGCATCACTCAGCTGCCCTGAGAGCTTCTGCATCATGTCCCCTATTGTGCCCCTGAAAAGACGAGGGTAGTGAGAAGACAACTCTGCCTAACCCCCACAATCAGACAGCCCCCCAACTCCTCTTGGCCCCAGCCAGGCCCCACCTGGGGATGTGGGCGAAGCCAGGTACATAGGCCTCCATCATTTCAGCGAAGGCCTCCATATCGAAGTTCTCCTCTGATGGGCCTGAGGGGCCCAGGTCCTCCAATACCCCGAGCACATAGGAGAAGATGACCTCATCCAAACCACTGCAGGAAGAGGACAAGACAAGCCCTGGGTAGGACACTGGACACCTCCAGCACCTCCACCTAGCCCAAGACTCCAGCCCTCAGCTTCATGGGGTCCATGAGTCAGACCTCAATCCTTAAGGCCAGAGAGTATCCCATCCTCTCTCAAAGCTTTGGTATCCCATCTGTCCAACCAAGATGACAGTGACAGAGAGGTAAGGGCATCTCAGCCAATTATAATCAGCCCTCCCCCACCTCAGGAATAGGAGTGAGTGCTTTCCATTCCAGTCTCTCCAGAAAGACCCTGAGTACTGCTGGGCTGCTCCAACCCTGGCCCTAGCATGATCCTTCTGGGGGAGCTGTCTCTACCTGAGATCGGCCTCCGGGAGGTGCGTCTGGACAAAGGCAAGGAGGGCTGCACTGACAATTCTCTCCAGCTCCATGCTCTCTCCTCTTCTGAAGGGACGTAAGACAAACAGGATTGCCAGGCCCTCTTCTGCCCACCCCCAACCACTGGGCCTGGGAGCAGTAGCTCCTCCCTCCCAGCCTACTGTGGAACCATCTATTGATGTTGCCCTCCCTGCTCCCCCAAGCAGAGCCACAGCCCTCTCTCCCACCCATCTCTCACCTCCTCCAGCCTGAGACAGGGCAGGGCACTGTCTTGGAGAAGTCCTCTGGAGGGAGGTTTCCAACCCCTCCTCCCTACCTCTCCCCTTCCCCCCATCCTATTCCCCAGCAGCAGGCCCAGATCCTCTGGCAAGAAGCTGAGGTCTTAGGGTCACATGCCTCCTGGCTGAGGAATCCCATCATTGAGGAGGCCACTTGGCCCCCAAGTCCAACCACAAGGGGCCCCATTGTCCAGCCCCCCAAGAAGCAGACCGCAGGACCAAGCACAGCCCTTCCCCCACCTAGAACAGGCCACCCACCCTCTGCACAAAGGGGCTTTTCTGACTCTGGGGCCCAGACAGAAGGGGAAGTCTTTCATGATTCTCTCCTCCTTCCCAATCCCTGCCATTCCAGCATCTGGGGACTATCTAGAGGACTTTCCATCCTCCTTCCCAAGGCCTACAGAGCCCCACAAGACCTGACCCTTGCCCACCTCTCCCTCCTCACCACCCCCTCCTCTCTCACTCCACTCCTGCCCCACCAGCCTCCTTGCCCTTCCTCAAACTTGCTGAGCTTCCTCCCACCTGTACACTCCACGCATCCACATGGTTCATCCCCTCACTTCTTCTGGGGCTCTGCTTGAATGTTACATCCTCAGAGAGCCTTTCCCTGACTAACCTACCCAAAATAGGTATTCCCTACTCCCTAATCCTTTGTCCTGCTACATAGCACTTCCTACAGTTTAAAGTTATTTTGGAAAAAAAAAAAAAGTTATTTCGTGTTTATTTGCCTATCATCTGTCCTCCTGCATAAGTTTCCAGGAGCAGGGGGTGGGGGACACTTTCTCTTATTCATTGGTGTAGCCCTAGCACCTAGAAAAATGGCTGCACTTAGTAGGTGTTCAAATAAATACTTGTTGACTTATTAATTCCCATCTGCATGCTTTTGATTCCCAAAAGTCTGTATTTGAGAGTCAGGCACATGTTGGTGGCAATAAATAGCTCCAGACAGATAGGTCCAAATGTCAGCTCATCATCCCACTTGGAAAGCTCAAATGCACCTCAATTTACATCCACCCCAAACTCATGATATCCTCCTGATCTGTGTGCATCCACCCTACCAAATACACACTTCCTCCTCTTTCATCAGCTGACACCACTCACTCAGCGCCAAACCTAAAATTTGGGGATTACCCTTGATCTTGCCCTCTCTCACCCCTACCTGCTGCACCCAGTCAATCTCCAAGTTCTGTTGAGTCTATTCCCTTATTATATCCTCTTCTCCCCACCCCAGTCTGGCTTCTGCTCCAATGTCTCTACCAAAATTTCTCAGGCTAAGGTCACCAGTTACTTGTTTCGTTTGGGTCTAATTAGGTTGAACCACATGAGCTTGTCAATTTTGTCTAGTTTTGATCTTCAAAAAAAGAAAAAAAAGGGGCCGGCCCGATGGCGCACTGCTACAGTGCGCCGCTTGGGAGTGCGGCGGCACTCCCGCCGAGGGTTCGGATCCCACATACAGACCGGTTCCCACTCACTGGCTGAGCGAGGTGCGGACGCAACACTGAGGGTTGCGATCCCGTTGCCGGTCCCGGTCCCGTACGGGCGCGACACTGAGGGTGGCGATCCGTTGCCGGACACGAAAAAAAGACAAAAAGGAAAAAAAAAAAAAACAAAGCAAACTAGAAATGTCGAGAG